AAAATGGGAGTATTGCGCATTCATTTAAAGGCATAGATATAAGTGTGGCACTTTGTGGACACTAAAACAATACTTAACAATACAATACTTAACTCCTTTGTCCGAAAATGCTTAAACATTGATTTCTGTTCCAAAAAATTTTGAGTGGATCCAGCATTTTCATCCGAAGCGATGAACTCGAATGATACCAAAAATCCAACATTTTAAAATCATTTTTTTGCTTTTGAAACAATGAATTTCTAGAAGTTTTAATAACGAGTCATGAACCTCTAATCCCACCGATAAACTTAAACTTGTGTTACGTGGAGGTATGGCTGGCGATTGGAAAAGCAGTCAGAGTAACTGTTAGTGGGTTGGGTGGAAGCAGGAAGTGATTTCAGGATTAGCTTGGTTATTTGTAGCAAATCAAAAGGGTATGCTGCCCAGACAAATCTAGAGAACAAAAGGCAATAGTCTTATGCTAAAAGCGAAAGTGAAGTCTCGTGTTATGATCACAATTCATTGCCAACTTGGAAAAGAAGATCCTTTCGAGGTAGCATTGTAAGCGCTGTACGCCAGGAGGGACTAAAGGATACCTGCCACCATCAATACCTCTGCTTCACGCCCGCGTTTTGGGCTAAATCTTCACGGTTATAAACGGCCGATGTGAGCTGCAGTAGGTTTCGTGCATGCACCGTTGGATACATGATGCTAAGTTCAATACCATTTATTCCTACGCAAGATTATGTCAAACGAAAATGTATGCATCCGCACAGCTGGCAATGCATGAATTTGTACAAAACAATGAAGTGACTATTTTGCTCGTGTCGACAATCCTGTATAATCCTTGAATTTGGAGATGCATTGCCAAATTTTCGCACCTTGTTTCATTAACTCCGGCGCCTCTTGAGTGTGATAGTGGCAGCAGTAGTTGTAAATTTTACCCTTAGCCTTGTTTATACTTGTACGCGCCTGTTTGCGTGTTTGGCAGAAGTCGACCCGCGTTTTGGAGAGTAGACCTGATAGGCGATCCGCTTGGGGACGTGAAGCACTATTGTTAATGCGCGTGGTGCACTTATTAATTACTGCGCTAAAACAGCTCCAATTCTGCACATAAGCAGAGAGATTAGTATGAGATCAACTATCTTTTCCTTCTCTTATTTAACACATAACAGTAGAATGAACGTTAATGGCTGAGTTTCTGACAACTGTGTTCAGTTTGCCCTTTTGATTCGGCAGTAAAATAATTGCACCGATCAAAGGTTAACGTCACCAGATCTGCTTTACAGCTCAGTCAATTGCATTAAAGATGTGTTTATACTTCAATAGACTTTCTTTTAATTGCAGTCTCCAGTCTCTATTCGATTTAGACTGTATCAAACTTATTTTCTTCCAGGATTTTTACCATTTCTTGCTTAAATTACCTCACTTCTTACCCATTATCCACCGTGCGCGTCAACTTGCGACCACTACTTGGCTACATATAAAAAGAGAGGTAAATTATAAAAATGAGGTTCCCACCGAATAAAGACGAAATCATTTATTTGCATCTTCGTCACTCATATTACACAGTCCCCATTTCATACTTTTGTTGGATAAAGTAAATGCTATCAACGTCTATGCACTAATGCCAATGTTAAAACCTTCCCTTCTTCTGTTGCAATTGTGCCTTAACAACCTCTCGAAGGATGTGATGTAATAACGATAGCTACTGATTCGCAGAGATGGTTCATTTAAAGGTCATGTGTTCAGAGAAAATAGGTAGTGGAGCCAAATCACGCCTAGCTAGTTCTTTGATCACATCCCACTAAAAACCGCATTTTATTACTGTCCTAAATTTGCACTTTTAACAGAGGTTGCATCTGCAGTTAAGGTCTAGAAATGACTGACTGTTAAACTTCATAAGCTTGATTCCATACAACGTTTTTAATATTTTAAGGAAACAATCTTTGCAAAGAGTAAGCTGCTTGAGTGCTCAGTACATCGTACACTCTTTAAATTCTGATCATAACAAGCAAGAAGGTGAACACGTTTCTTCATTCCATTTACTGCCATATCGAATTGAAAGATAGCAACCTTCAAAAATTACTCTTTTTTCCTGGCATCGGATTCAGCACCATGTTCTTTAATAAAATGCCTTCGCATCCCAACATAAAACCTTATGAGAATGAACATTTGAAATGAAGTCCACTTGCTTCTCTGATATTCCTCAATCCTTCTCGTGCACTCGGCACAAGCCAAGCGCCGATGATTGAGGAGATTCATGAACTTACAACGATTCCTTCTTTCTTTTATCCCTCACAACACTCGGAATGAATTAATGTCCGTTGCTACTGCAAACAAAAGATTTGACTTCAATGGAGAACATATGAGAAGCGCCTTGGTCCATTACATCGTGTGGATCGATGAAGCAAGTTATGTTGGATCGCGATCTAACGTTGCAATCAGTCCTTCACAAAAGGTGAGTTTATTTTCTAAGAATCCCAAGTACTCAGAGAGTCTATTTTGGCTCAAATTCCTGCAATACCTTGTTTATATTGCCACCTGCATGAACAGGTAGGCTGACCTTGGGACTAAGCCAAACCCCACTTCCTACCTTTACTCCTCGAATACATTTACTCGTTCCATTTTAATGCTTTCTTTTACCTAGTGGAAAGCCTCAAGATACCACACTTCCCACCTGCGTATGCCCACCGCATTTTAAATCATTCTTTCGTTAATTTGGGTTCCTCCAAATGGCAAACATTTCAGAAAAACGTCTTTCACGCCCATGCTGCTTGAAGACCTGCCTGCCAATTGAATACTGTGTGGCTATGTTTTATCCCTTGTTACGCTGCTATTTCCAAGTTATGCATAATTATACCGCATCGCTGATTGGAAAACTTGTGTACAAGCCGACTCCTACTCTTGCCAACCTTGTATTCAGGGTTTTCCATTCACCTCAATTCCCCTGACTGTGACGTTCAAACTCACAATCTTTTTCATCTTATTTTGCAGTGCATTTCATAGGTTGTTAATCTTTGTTGGCACTAATTGCTGTGACCCAAACTACTAACGTCCCAATTGCCCATGCATTTTAAAGAGATACAAGGATCAAAACTTAGAACAAATCGAACTCCTCCAATCGGAATAAGAGAACATCACTTTTTTATTAGTAGTCAGGTAGTTTTACGTCTTTAATAACACCCAATCATTTCATATTTTTGCCCAATATTATCAGTGCAAAAAATCCTCCTTGAGATTCCTTTTGGATAGGAGAGTTTAGACTCTTATCCACTTGGAATCCTCGTACCTAAAAGTGGCTTCAGAGTCTCGATTGAGGTTTTCAAACCCTTGTCTAATTACATTTACTTTACTACCAAATCCGCAGGTTTATTATGTCTGGAGCACGTTGTATGCGTGAGCCTTAGGCTTGGAAGCGTTAGTAGTATCATGGTCTTGGAAAACAGCAATCCTACTTAATTTATTTCAAGTAGAATTATTAATTCATTCCATTCATTTTGACGCCTAACTGAAATTGAAATTATAAAGCTACTTTTGAACATTCAGATTTAACTAGATGTTCCTACCGAACGATTCCATTTTCCTGGCTGCAAACAGACTTACTTGAATATGAATTAAATGCCTGCAAATTTTACTAAACGAGGAAATCTTGATTCGGTCAGAAGACAATTAACCGATGAAAAAAATATGAGCTCGCGTGTATTGACTTGAAGAGCACAAAAGGTGATGGCCAATATAAGCCTCTTCCTGACCCCAACTTGAAAGAGAAATCTCGATCTGTAAACTGCAAATGTAGGTTACTTTTGAGACCCCTAAGATAGCCTCTTCAGATTACACCAAAATCCAGTTAATTCGAGTCGTAGACGAAGTTTACTAGCCTCCTCCAAAATTATGAAGTTCGAAATTGATGTACTTATGGTGTGTGATCTTTGCCCATAATTTACTAGAAAACAACCCAAGAAAGAAGCAATCGTAGTGGAAAGGACTTTCAAACACTATGACATCAGAATTAAAATGGGGGTTTCATAGAAATTCCCCTCTCAGAACGGTTTGCGCCTTATCTTACATCAAAGGCACATCAACGCCATTGAGGCTACACCACATGCTTCCCACTTTATTTGTCCTGCAATGCATCGGACAAAACCCAGGTTTGTCAGCATTCCAAATGTTTTATTTAGATGATCGCATTAAAGGTGGTGACCCTTTGACAAGCATCTCCCTCAAATGCCTTTTCTCGCTAGTTAAAGAGCTATGTTACGTAAGATGCTTTTCACAGAGTTGGGGACCTATGCTGCAATATGCATTGGCATTATAGAGATGAGATCAAGTATTGTGCATGCATTTAACTGAACAAATCGGTAGCTTTACACAAAATCTGTTGAAACAAGACATCAATGCGAGGATGACCTAAATGTTAATTGGCGGGCCCTGGTTGTTAACGCATATTGATTTATTTTGATCACAATCCAAAGCTATACTCCCTAAAGTAATAATCTCATAGATAAATCTGTTGTCCAAACCCCGCTACAGACCGATGCGCCACCATCTATTGAATTCCCATAAAGTATGATGTCTCTGGACCTCTGAGCACCTTCTTCACAGCCCGAATTTATTCCCGCGAAAACGCTAGTAGTAGCATTTTACTCTTTGCTGGAAACTCCTTGTTAGATGATAAAAATGTGACAAATTCGGGCTTATTAACATTATCCATCGCAAAATATCAACTAAGGATTTAGACGATTAATAGCAGAGCCACGAGGCTGCCCGCAGTTCATCCGATATAATCGCATCTACATGAACTCCAGGGACCCCTTAGGTATCTTACCGACCACGTCATAGCGAAAAGTGCAGCTAGTTGGAACGGAGTCACAATCTGTCCCAATCTCGATTCCACCCGAATCGCTCAGAACGAAGGGATTTATTGCTTCACATAAGTGAAGAGGAATGACCACACAAGCACATTTATCTGAATAACTGAACACTTACAAAAACAACGAGTGATCCCATCTCGCCAGAGCTCATGTCTTTCGTGATCTCTTAGACGGCAGTAACGACGCCTCAGTAGCTGCCTCCGTGGCCTTCGCAAGAGTAGAGGCTTCTAGGCGCTCGTGCATCCGCGAGAACCACCGATCGATGCTGCACCGTCCGTTCCTACCTATCCGGAAGAGCGCCTGTTCCAGCTCCTCTAATCTGGAATGGATGGGACAAAGCTGATTCATTCTTCCGTGCCTAGCACATCCACCTAGTCTTGGTTGAGCCGTGCATAATTCTATGTACAAATTCCAAAAGTTAGGCCGGCCACTCTCACTTAATATACTTTACTGCTGACTCCCATTTATACGAACTTTGATCTACATTTCTCAATATTCATTGCTAAAGGACGAGACTTATCAGCACTAAGGTTTTGGATTATGAAATTGACACTCAGATCCGGAGACAATTGAAATGTTCCATTTGTACTCTTTTGTTTAATGTGAAGTCTGTGGAACTTGATTCAAGTTTGGGAACGCATATCTCGCAACCAGATCTTTTTTTCAGTCGACATTTACTCAGTTCAACCCTTTTGCCAGATGGGTTTGGATGTGGAGCGTTCCCCAGCATTAACATCAAATTTGAGCATACCCAGTTATTTTGATCATTGACTGGATGACAACTCGGCCACTTTTTCATGCGTAGGTTGAAGTGGACATCTGCCGCGATCAGGCAATCTTCTCTCACTTAAGACCAGGACAAAATTAGAGTTATTTGGCAAAAAACGCAACCGACCATCCAGGTCATCTGCCTACAATTCACATATGGGCAAACCACTTTCGAACTGAGGCATTCTACAATGGTTTTAACTAGTGGCAGTTACCACATTTTATCGAATTGTCGTTTTACAAAAAACGTCTCAAAAGAACTGAGATCAAAAGGAGGGCATGAAGGATACGAGAAACATAACTGAGGTACATTGGGAGCTCACTTTGGCAAAAAACCACAAGGCAGTGTTCAAATACAGACCGCCTGGGCCACAATTTAATAAAAACAATCAATTCACACGCAAAAACTGTAGGAAATAGATGAACTCAGTCCAGTGACCTGTCATCGCTACATCAGGTACCAACGGCTCTTGACTTTAAAACTTCGCACCCTTAGAGGCACGAGAGACCAAATCAAGAACCATTTTATTCAAGGTCTCAGGGGAGACTCGACATAGTCAGCTATCAAAAAGGAACAATTTCGTGTAATTGGCTCATAATATCTGTAAAGATGTCGAGAAAACTATTCTCAGTCCTGCAGTTAAAAACCAAATTGCGCCATCCTACTCCGCGATCACACTCAGAAGTGACCCAGAGGCCGCAAAATAACCAATCTGGCTTTGCAAACTAAGATGGAGAAGGTTTGTCATTTCACCATTATTGCAAAACAATGAACCTATTTTGCGGTTCGTTTTTGCTGTAAAGGTAAACAATATCTAAAAGCAAGAGTGAAAATGTTTTCCGTTATAATAATAAGAAACAAGAGGAAATAAAATACCTGGAAATCAGACCCATGACTGATACTTTATTTGCATTGAGAGAAGCCTCCATGAGATTTCTAATGCGTCGCTGGAAAGAAAAGTGGTTGCATTCTTAAACTACAAACCTCAACTTTAAATCAAAAGGGAATAGTAAATTTTCTAGATCATCCGGCTCTCATTAGCCACACAACCCGACCGGTTAGCTGATAGAGTTGAGAAGTTATCTATTTACTTAGGGCACACTCCTAATATTTTTTCCTGGAACAAAAGGCTGCTCATACAATTCACAGTTATCGAACTTTTGCATGACGTGAGGATACATCTTGCATAATTTTCAGAGAGCAATTCCATTTCATTGGGCATAGAATACGGTGAATACCTCGCACATGCGCATATTTCGACGAATATGTCTAATATGCCCTTCAGATGGTCAAAAGATTGGCAAAATGAGTACTTCCTTGCCCAGATATATTCACAGGCACTCGCCACAAATTGACACAGCAAACCAGTGACAGATAACTATTGTTTAAAAGCAAAACACCCAAATCCTCATAGTTTGCAAATAGTCATAGGTATTCACCTTTTCAAGATATTTATAATTCAAGCTGTTACTGAACCATAACTAAGGAATATTCAAAGTTGATCAGTTTTTTCGACTGAAAACGCCCTACGATTATTTGAAGGCATGTTCTACTGCTCTAAAAGTATGATGCTATGCACACCACATAAGCAACTTGAATGGACAAACCTGAAAAACATTTTCAAGAGTGGCAATTACGGCAGGCATTCCTGGTAGAGAAAGGCTGGACAAGTGGCAGCCAAAGGAGTAGAAATTGGGGCATCTTTTTCGGAGATCGACAACCCAGGGATCTGCAGCGAAAATCTCTCGATAGATTTCCTGAAACCAGAAACCACCTTTCAAAATATCCAACACAATCAGGATAAGTCTCCGTATGTGCTAGCAAGTGATGCAATCTATGAATACGCCCATTAACGAATCCTGGCGAGGTTGCAGTCCTGATATACATAAGAATATTTCAAGGATGGCAATCTTTTAGATATTCATCATTTGGATCTATCCACACATTCCTGTTGACTCTTATTTGATACAAGCTATACCACATAGGTCAGCTCAAGTGAACCTACCCTGTAAATAACGGGAATTTCAATTAAGAAAATTTGCCGTCGACTACTCCCAATACTGCTTATGAGCCAAAGAGGCACTTCAAGTCTAGTTCCTGATGAAACATCGTTGTCATGTATAGCGCCTTCTGTGGAAGACTGAGGTCGCTTGTACGTATGTATGGGACCAATTAATAGGGGCGCAATTCTGGGTAATGAAATCCGAGTTTTGCAAAGTAGTCGATTGCTAGTCGATAATATGTCATCAATATTTAGGTATGACCCATGATATGCGAGTGATAAAGTCCATTCAAAAGTCAGAAAACCTCGAAGATCTATCTGCATATTCAGCAACAAAAGAGGAATACAAAAGAATAAACGCACGCCAGCCTAGTAGTGATAAAAGTTGGCTGACCAATCAAAATAAAGCGTTGGAAAAAGATTAATGCCGAAATGGGGTATCAAAAAAGCAAATAATTTGAGCGTTGAATTCTACAAAAGTAGGCTCCACTTTTGAGATCCTATAAAAGGATGCCAATTCCTGTGACAACTCTGGCATTTAAATAAGGTGGAAGACGAGACATAAACCCATCTACAGAAAGAATCTATATACACTGTGAACCATCTGGTATAGTTTCACGTCGAAAATGACATAACTTCGGAGCCCCATCCATAGAGGACTGTGTCTGATCACGTCCTCCTTGTTAAACTAGCATAACAATGTCCAGCCCTGGAAGCAAATTATGTTCGATAGTTATGGACGATACTAATTTCTGCTCTCAGACCGGGCTCAACCCCAGATTCGGTTGACGCGCAGCATCTTTAGATTTCCCACTAGGTGGAAGAAGGCATCAACTTAAACTGATTGCATATGCTGCAAGGAGGCAAAATGACTATGCCTTAGCTTGTTTTGAAGACCAGCCTGCGCGTACAAGAGCCAGACGAATATTAAAGTAAACATTAGACATCATACGGTCATATAATCAAACTACTATATGAGTCATATGTTAGCTAGTGCCTAGGATAGAAGGTTTGTGAGTGCTTTCTAGCGGCACCAAATATGGAATGACTGACGCGGGAAGTGTACCATGGGAAAGTGGTGAGAAAGTCACTCCAAAGAAGAAGGGGGGTTAATACTTCATTTGTATAACCACCCCATATCTAGCGGCAATTTTGATATTGCTTTGGCCCATGTACGTGGGGCTGGCCATTGGGTCAAGTCGAAGCCCAACATCTTTTTATCCTCCACCGTAACTTAATGCCTTCTTCTATAGTGAGAACCCTCGGGACATTGCATAATCCTTCCTACTCTTAGTTTATACACATGGATTCTCAGCCGACCACAGTCAGTACTGACAATCAAGCATTGGAAGTAGTGGTCCAAGACATTCAGCTCATCAGTACAGAGTCTCAGCTGAACTAACGTTTGAGCGTTACCTAGAAATATCACCGAACCTGTCTACGCTCTGTGGTAACCGCCTTAAAGAAAATTTTCAGAGCTAGCCTGTTATTTGTTATTATTTTCTACGGCGCTTAACCTAGTGTTTGCAGACTCTCTCCAGTTGATATCTCGTATTCTGCTCATCTGCATCCCGATCCCCATTCTTCTTAGAACAAATGTCAAATAAATCATTTGCAACAAACCCCCTCTTGAAGTCTGAAGCTCAAGAGCCAAAGAGTAGGCAGGCAGCTCTTACGATGAGCACCTATATGACGAACTGCTAGTTTAGTAATAGTCTTGCAGTTGGGTCGGTGGACTTGTCTTCAAACTGAAACAAACAAAACTATCTTCACTTTTTCGCCTAACATATGTATGCGCTACAAAATCAAGGCCATTTTCTATCTGATGGAGAGTAATGGGTCGCTATTAGAAGCCCCACGAACCTGTACGAGTGGGGAAAATAAAATACGAAGATTTCTAATTCAAATTCGAGGCAGCGTTACCACATCTATTCACATTCCTTTTTCCAAGTACTTGCTGCTATAGTTTAGGATTTAAATTAAGGAAGGAGCAACAATAACCTATAGCCAATTAAATATACGATTATTATTGGATTTCTTTTTATAAACAGTGCTATGTGCTTTAGTAGTAAATTTAAAGATATTTTGTTATGTTTATTTTTTAATTATATTAAAAATTTTAAATTTTTTAATTTTATTTTTATTATTTTGTTTAGCTTGACCACATGACTTATGTAAATGATCACATCGGCAGTGTTTTGCTCAGTCACTGGTCTTGGGATCGTGGTGTGGTTGTAGGGTGGCGTTGAATTGTTCTTTTTTGCTTTGTGTATTTCCATAATTTAACGTACTTCATGTTCTTGTGTTTGGCAGTCATCTCGTGAAAGACGATGGTAGTGAGATACGGAAGAACTAAGCATCTTGCTACTCCGTCTTTTCCTAAGATGCTGCTTTGACCGTCATGACCGCAGGCGTTGTTCGTCGTCAACATTGCCTGTAGACACGGGTTGAGATGTCACAGCCAATATTGATGAACGAGTGGCGTCTTTTACCGTCGGCCTTCGTAGTTTTACTGTCAGTTAGTGTCCCGAGGGTGGTGATCTACTTAGTCAGAGTATCACAGCCCTGCTTGGGACACATGCCGGCAGCTCAAACGACCGGTCTTAATTTTGTCTTATTTCGTTGATCTTATGGGCATTGGGGTTTTGGTTGCTGTAATATCGGGTCTGGTTGGGTTCTGGCACCTGGTACGCCGTCGTAGGTCTATACGCATGCGTCTGATAACTGGATCAGGTCTGCTTCGGAGTTGGGTCCCGCCGGGCTGGGTGGTCGTTTGCAGGTCTGCTCTCCATCGCATTTGGTCCTCGAGGTAGGCATGGTCCCAGTTCGCGGGCTGCGTGTGAACTCTCGTGTGTGATGGGAGATGCGGTTTTCCCGCACTGTGGCGGTCTGCCTCCGGTCCGGGCCCGGGCTCTCGTCGCCACTCCTCGGCAGTGATTAGTACTCGTGGGCGATGGTTACGGCGAGGGGCTCGGGGGGCGGGTCGGGTTGTTCGCCTCGAAGGCCGCCGAGGTGACTTTCGGTTCCTGAGGTGGTTCCCGCGATCCGCCGGACGGTCGCGGTTGGGCTTGCGGGAGCGGATTCGGCGTGCCCAGCTCTGGGTCCGTGGGGGCGCGGACGCGTTCCTTGCACGGGCCTGGGCCGCTCATTGACTGACGGTTGCTCCATGCGCCAGGAGGCAAGTTCCCTGGTAGGCGGTCGCGGGGCTCTCTCGCGTGTGGGTTCGCGGCACGGGCGCATCGGCCTCGGTGTGCCGCTGATTGCGAACGTATGGGAGATCGGCCCGCCCGCAGCAGGCTGCCCCTGGTGACGACGTCGCGTTGCAGATTTGGGTGGTCTCGGGGCGGGTTGTCAATGTGCTTGTCTGGCCGTCAGTACAGCCACTGTGGGGCTGGCTGCGCTCACGCCGCCGCGAGGATTCGTTATCTCGATTCTTCCTTGGAGTGCGGGCTCTCGCGTGAGATGGCTTGAGAACCGAGAAATACAGCGGTCCGCGAATTGCGGGCGATATCATCCCTAAGCGTCGTTTTTTTTACTGCTCACTCAAGATGGTTCTTGCGTTGGCTATTGTCTCCCCCTTTTAACCGCCTTACTTTTCAATAAAGTGGTTCCAAGCTGGTGTTAGGGCTTCATTTGCCGGCAAATTTGTTCAGCCTAATTCATTCAACGGGCTCCTGTGTTAATCACTTCTGAGCGCTTCGAGTAGCGTAACGTCGTTCTAGGTGCACTCCTCTGTTCAGTTTTTCGTGTGACGATTACTGTTAGTTTGTGATGTTTCCACAATCTCGATGCCTGCGAGAGGGCTATCTCGAACGCCTCCTACAGTCCTTTCCTTTAGACAGGAAAAAATTTCTTGGTTGCCACTTTGGCGGGGCTCACGGTTCCTCTCCCGGGGTGGAGGAGGTAGTAGACCGCGATATGGTAACGTGTTTCATCGGTGGTAATCGTCCCCACAGCGGGGATCTGTTACTCTCTACCGTTGGTAAAGGAGCTCGTCCTCCGGATGTAATGGTCTGCATTCAAAGCAACTTTTGTTCTTGCAGCTCTCAATTCTCGAAATGCATTCAACAGCAAATGGCAAGTTAATGCTAATTACTCGTTATATGATGCGTTGCCCTTGCTAAAATGACCTGGATGTGTAGCAAAACCATCGTTTATCAGAAGTTAGAGCTCATTGTTCGAAAGGAAAAAACCAGTTGTCAGAATGCTCACCTTCATGTACGCTTCGCAATAAGTGATTCAGGGACAAGAACTATAACTATTTCTACAACAATAAGCCAAACTACCCATCTCGTAATTCAGGTTCTGGATGTCACGACATGTAATAGTAGCAGGTACTGCGGGCCAAATTCGTTTGTTTACTCGATGCAAGGTCGAGCTTTACAGACCCATAGCTTGTCAGAATCTGACTTTACTGGTGTTGCAACGTCTTCCCTCCACGATCTCTACTTGTGGCATATCGTCGGGTAGAACTCTAACTTACTAAAGTGTTCAACTTAACAGACGCTAGAATAAAAACCCCTGTAGAAGAGCAGCGAAAGATGGGAATATTCGCGAATGAGGGAAGATTACTCAAACACTAAATTTCCGTCAAATTAAAGAAGCCATTACAAATTACAACGCACTCCCCTCCTCCATCACAAGCGTAGTCGCTACTATCTGTTGAAAGCCTATTTCCTGCGCACACCGCTCGAAGTCAGAGCCAAGGCGGCCAGACGACTTGCATCATGTGCATGAATAGAAACAAAGGGAGTCGACAGTGAAAGGCATGCGTGCATGTAGACCAGCGCATCCCTAGCCTGCGCCTATAGCTGATTGGTCTGTTAGACCCTGCCATGCACCGGTGGACGGTTCTAAGTGCGCATGTGTGTGTGCGCGCGTTTGCACGTCTGATGCGGCGTTTCGCCTGCCCTCCTGGATGCGAAAAATCGATACATCTCAGCAACGGCTGCCAAACCCGCTAGTGTGTGCGGACGCGAACACAACCTTGTCTCCCTACCTTTGCGTGCCTTGCAGGGTCGTTCAATTAGTGTCCAATTTTGAGCTCAGTGTCTGGATTTTATTCGTGTCCCGTGTGTGCACGAGGGGTTCGCTCTCGCAGTTGATTGGCGCACATGTACGGCTGCTATGTGATTCACGAGTTCGCAGCCAGATGGTGATGACTCCTATGTTTAAGGTCTGATCACATGACCGATTGTGGGATTTAATACTGTATACGGCATTAAGGGCCTCGTCACCTGTCGGTAGGCCTCCGAACCCTGACTAGGCTGACGTGCGGCGACAGTTCCAATTTTTTTTGTTACGGCGATTCTTTCAAGCCCATCAATTGTAATGTTTACCAGGAGTTCATGTCAGGCCACGACTCTGTCCTTTCCACAACCTAATAATCCAGACAAAACCGTTAGGTCGCACAAACATACAAAAGGTCAATCGATTAAAAGATGGCGAAAAAAATAATAATGACTGGTATTTTCGATCTATAAGTTCGAGCGCGCATAACACCAGCTAATCTAATTTTAAACCGACAATGCTAGGATTATGTTAAAGCGTTCTCTTCAATTATGGGTCATTGTCAAGCACGGCGTGGGTATCTTTGGTTTGGCCGTGTTGACTCTGTAAGCATTGGCGTTCTCTCAATGAGATTGGTAATACAATGCCAGGTTGCTGTGGCATCATGCTTTGGTAATCACTACAACAATGCATTCGAGTCACTTGTTTAGTATGAGCGTTTGAGAACAGTCGCACTATTTGCTGAAGCTCAGCCAGTCGGAGATGGTAACATTACAATGCACTACCTCGATAGTTTCGGAAGGACTGATTATCAGAAATAATCTCATTTGCTTTTGACAGATTTCGCAACGTACCCAAGCGATGCAAAATGCCTTTATAGCTGTATGAGTGAACAGAAGAGGTCGGAAACGTTTATTATACCAGCACGTTGTACAGGACACGCTCTCGGATTCGACGTAGCTTCCAATCCTAGTGCGTTTTCTGTAAGAGGTAGTGTTTCATTTTTACTTCAAATATTCAATTCATAAAAACAGGCATTGCGGAAAGGGTACCAGTAGTAGTATGTTTTGTACTTACTTGTGTACGCAGTCGTACTGATCCGTAGGTATCATCCTCGTCAAATTTAACTAATTAAGTCTGGTATAATAAGCATTGGTTAGTCTTATGTCCACGTACAATTTGACAGCAGGAGGTTGTACCGAAAATAATGTTATTTTTCTTACTGTAGAGAAATGGAGCTTCCCCGTGGACAAGGCCCCAGGGCTGTTTAACATTGCTTGGGTGTGAGGTTAAAACGACTGGTGACAACTTTCACTGTCTTTGGCTGACAGCAGTTGATATCTTTCACTTGACTTAAGTAGTCATTCCAGAATTTTTTCTGCATTTGATAATCTTCTTCAGCATACTTGTGCGTCAGAAGGTCAGCAAGGCAGTCGGGTTGGGTCGGAAGATCACGCTGTAAAATTGAAACGACCAATGTATGGAGAAAGTATGACAACCTCATATGAAAGTAGCCAACATTTTGAGACGAATTAATATGTTTGGGGATTTTTTGGTTTTTTGAGTTAAAAACAATGAATAAGCATGTGCAAACTTTTAACGTAGCCTACATTTACCAAAAAACGGATCGGGTAGGTGGAGCCTTGTCAAGACTACTACCATCCAAAGCCAAAACTACCATACTACTTAAATGCCTTCATCAGCATGAATTGAAGGGAAGGGAATACAAAGGAGCTGGGATGTGACCAGACATCGTGGAAACAACGTTCAATTGAACAAGGTTCGGACCTTTTTGATCATGCACTGGGCTAGGGAACTCTTGAGTCGTCATGGGTTACATTTTTCGCTTGCAGAATTGTATTTGATTCAGACCACCAACCTCTCAAATTCTACAAATATTAGTATTTGCTTTTTCCCGGTTCCTTGATCTGCTATTAAGTCTGACGAAACTCGGAGCGCTGAGATCACCTTTTGAAGGAATAACCACTACACCATTCATTGGAAACGAAGAAAATACCAACATCTACTCCACTTTGGACAGTTAAAGCTGAAATTTTTGACAAAAATGGGACCTGATTTTCGAAATGCAGGATTTACCGTAAAATACTTAGTTGGTGGCATTAAGCTTGAGGCTCTCATGAAGTCGGAGTTTAGAAAGTGATACTGATATTTGTGCTTAGCTTAGGCAGCATGACCTCTCCCAAGCTCATGATCTACTAGCCCTTCCTATAAGGCAGTACCAACAATTTCTTCAAGATTGCCATTTCTCTTTGCAGCTTTGATGATGCCTTCAAGGTAAGCAAAGTCAAAAGGATCTATGGCAGTCTACAAGCTTCAAACAGTTTGTGCTAATGACAGGACAACTAATTAAATGTATGTTACGCATAAGGAAGTGTGCAAGGTCCTCTCGAGCACAGAATCCTACACGATGTGTCATTTTCAAAAAGGACGTACTGATTGAGCTTCTGAAAGCGTCCACTAAACGATCGGACTACAAATGGCAGTTACGAGCCTTAATCTGTGCTTCACCACTCATTTCTTCAATATTTCAGGTGTTCAAGATACTTCCAGCATCATTTATTTAACCTTGTAAAGAACTAAGGAACATGAGTTCGCCTTTTGTTGGCGAGCTAAAAAACGTAATAAAAAGTGCAGTAGAAGCAACTTCAATGCAAAGGAAGAGGAGAAGGCTGGCAAACAAAGAGAAAGACAACCCTATCTTAAAACTATTTGATATTTTCAAAAGAACAAAATCATATCAAGATGGGGAAAATACGTGTAGAAACACATCTCCCACAAAAGGACGACAATAAATCTGACAAGGGTTAGCATTGATGGATGAGATAGTAGTTGGATGGGCGAGGTGGTAGCATCGACGTTATCTGATGATCAGCATTTATTAATATCTAACGATGACAAGGTAATAAAGCCAATAGCAGCCATTGTAGACGAGATAAGCAATGGGAAAGATGAATCGACTATAACCGTCTACAACGGACTCGACCTCGCCAAGCATTTTGCGGGTCTGCTTGGGAGGTCGAAGATCTCCCTGATGTGTGAGTATGGCCTCCACGTGAGCAAATACCTCAGCCTGTCGCTTAGTTACTAAGGAGGCACGATTGACATTGCTTGAAGTTTCCATGTGATAGACAGCCTTCCACCACCGTGCCAACTCCTCACGAACAATTCGTCGCACTCCGACACGCCAAGAGATCAATCGCTCGCGGTTCATAACGGTGAGTGCTACTGCGTATTCTGCCATAGCACCGACCACAAAAATGATTGAGCATATGACCCATACATCAATGGCTTTGGTGTAGGAGACTCGAGGAAGGCTTGAGCTAAGAGATACGGCTTGAGTGCAGAGACCTTGAAGACAGAGTAGACCCAGAGGCACTCGGGCTGGAGCAGCATCGGCTGGAACCCAGAAACTCACCCATGAAACCATTATGATAAGAGCATTAGGGATGTAAGTGGTCACCAAATAACTGCCCAACTGTCGTGAAAGGTGAAACGTCACCAGAAGACAGGTGTAATTTCCGGTAGAGGTGGAGGCCTTTTCAGTGCAGTCGATAGTGGTGAAATTGGCAGGCGTATTAAACTCAGAGATCTGAAGGTCTTTTGTGAGCTCGAGAGCGTTTTGATCTGTCCAATCAAAACGCAGTTCTCGAAGTGTGTAGCCATATGAACCAATGTTTATATCGCACACCTGTTCGTCCATAGGGAAGTTTTGCAATTCCATTTGACACGCAAAACGCATTGTGATTTTCTGACTATAGAGGACTTTTCCACTGGGATAAACACGAAGGAGGTAGTTAGGGAGAGTCATCTTGTGCAAATAACCGTCCTTTCCGTTTCTAAAGAAAAGATCCGGTAGCCATACTTGGTCCTTCAGATTCGGTGAGACAATCGGCATTGTGTAGCTTGCATGCTCAGGTAAGTGTTCCCACATCAATCGGGGATCCATCCAGGTTTGACGTAGAAGTGCATCCACATAGTAGTCCATATTGCGCACGTCGACAGAAAAGATGGCAAGAATCTTCATGTTCACTTTAACAACGGTGGACTCATTAAGCAATTCTGTCGGTCTTTCATGAGTCTTGTAGTTCTTGAATATGGTTGACATTATCTCATCCCGTTGACTTTTGAGCAGACGCGGCTTTGCAGCAAGCACAGCACTCTCACGAGACTCATATACATTATACTCGATCGGTTCAGTTATTTCTGCCGGAATGGGATAAGCGACTTCATTTAGTGCAGTAACCGACCAAAGAGTAAAGAAGAGTTCACAAAAGGTGAACGCGCAGACTGGAGGCAACGTCATGGCAGACTGCGCTTTCACATTCGGTAGGAATTCTGGCAAGGTGAGGAGCAGGCCTGGCTGAGTGCTGATTGGTTAAAAGACATTTGCAAGTCCATAAGAGAGCGCACACGCACAATGTCACGAGACACGAATGGGGGAAAGGAAGAAGGGAAGGAATAGCAGGTAAGGTTTGGACGGTGGTGCGCAACCACAGAGATTTAGATGCGAGCCCTAATGGTATCGAAGAATGGAGAAAAAGGCACTGAAGTTTGATGAAGTAGATTGGGAGGAGTGTGCCCAACAGAGCAGAGAGAGAACACTCAAAACAAGTGAAATTGTTTTAAGGAAATGTTAATACTCTCTTGTGTTCTAACACAACAATTGAACCCAAAGAAAATCTCGAGCGTAAAACGTGTACTAGTATAAGGCGCAAATTAAACAGTTTAACGAGAAACGGTACCACCAAAAATAACATTAGCAAATGGAAGCAGTAAAAATTTCTATTGCGCGAACAAACTGTCAAGCGTGCCCTAGTGAGGTCGGTGAAGACCGACCTGTTCACACTATCTGCCGAAACTCTGGGTCAATGTGACAGAAGTGCGGCAAAAGGGAAAAGATAACCCACCCTTACGTATTTGACAGTATGAGGATAGAAGAACTCCCGTCGGATGAAGGAAAGCGGAGGAACGATTCTGTTGTACTTGGAGTAACCGGGTCGAGAACTCGGTTGATTCCACGGCTTAATCCTCCTCTGTCTTGGTCGCTCCGTTGTCGGCAGTGGAGGGCACGGAGAAGTCATGGTCTTTGGATTCGAATGTGCAGGCGGTTTTGGTACGCACTCTGAGTGAGGCATACCAACAGACTTTTTAAGTAGGCTATCTGGAAAAGACTGCCTTTCTATCTGAGGGTCGTTCGAAGCGCAGTCAGAAAGCACCTCCACGGAATCCTTTTGAGGTTTGTTCTCATGGAAACAGAGGAGATCCTTTCGACCACCCATTTTCTGCAGGCGAATCAAAGGAGTGTCGGATGAGCGCAGATTAGAGAACGGCCTCTTCAGGACGAGTTCATTTGGATCTTCTGGTTGAAGGCCAATCAAGGGAATAGAAGAAAGCGGTGGAGCTGGCTTGGGACCACTACAAGGATTCGCCTTCACGTGATACATCCAACCACCATCGCATATTTTTTGAGGCATCTTTGGTAGTGGTCTATGAGACGGAATTTGTGAAGGCGTTTATTAAGTTTCCTACGAATCACTTTCACCCAGTTTTTGTATAAGTTGTGATTAAGACGACGACTTAACTTGTTTATCCGTTGCAAACTACTCTGCTAATCAAAATTCAAGCCACAGGCCAGAACCCCACTCTTATGTGCCTAAGGCCAATAAAGTCCTCATCCAGGTCAGAACCTGAATGCGAATGGCTATGGTAACGACAGCGATGCAATTAGATCCAGTTAGTATTAATTTGCGGAGATGGATGGGAAAAACTCCAACCATAGTCCATCTACATCGAAACTGGCCTGGCACAAATAGGCGAAACTAAACTCAGCCAGTGGTTAATAGAGGCCAATGAAAATACCAGATTTAACTAAAACCTTTGAAAGATCACTTTCGTTCTTCTAAACGGTGATTTCAAATAGCTCAAACGGATCCCAAATGAAGTTATATGTAAAACGAAGCAAAAATGACATGTGATTACCAAACTGAATAGCTTCGGATGGGCTTAAAGGAAAAGTATTGGTGCTCTATCACAACTCTACAAATTTTTAGTATAATCTATGCAAATGAACTAGCTACACAGAACTAACATCCTAAATCACATGGTCAAAATGCTTTTGAGACCGACAGTTGAGCAGAAAACAATTGAAAATGCCAAGTCACCAGTAATAAGACATTCCAGGACTTGAGGAAAACAGATACAGAAAGTGAGAAGTATGCGAGTTTTGAGCGTTGAATTCCAAAACAGTGGAAAGTTGAAGCGCGATTTACATTTGGCTGATAATTATTTCAACACCCAAAATAACGCCAAAGGGAGAAAACTACTGTGTTATGTCACCACATTTAATGTACGCACATGTTTACATTAATACAGCAACCGATTTAGTCGCACATTATTATGGAAATAACATGAAAGCGCATTTAAAAGAAGAAGTGCTTCTAGAATAGAACCAAAACTTTAATTCCTTCTGACTTTTATGTTCAAAAGACATCTCCGAAATAAGCAGCAATTAATACGAATCCACATTTGGAGTAAAGATTGATTGCATCCCAAATTAATAATTTTAGAATATTTTTTATACCTGCACTTATGGAGACTGTGAATGCAATACATGCAACCGTTTAAATTCACCTTATTGGGGAAGGCGGTCATTTAGGGCAAATCACTTGCTTAAGAGCCACGACGATCCTTTCGTGGAGTAAAGTAGGGCCGTTGTCTAAAACATTCCATTACCCCTTTTTGTTATGGAAATGATGCCTTATAAGCCATCTCAAAGCAATCCTCTTGTGCAACCAGAGGTTCAGGGCCCCGAGGATATGTTTATGCAACCACAGGATTGCCATTCCCTTGTACCCGAGGGCTGGCCTTTAGGGTCATGCGAAGACCCATTCTTGAAAACATGCAGTCAACCCAACATATTGTCTTCTACATAGTAGTGTTTTGGGACACTAACCTTGTGGCAGTTAAAAACCAACCGGACTTTTTCTCACGACTTCTATCCTAGTACCACAGTTTGTAACACGGCAGCTACAGCGAGTAGGAGCTTGCCTGATTTACTCGCACCTTGAATTCGCTTTGCACAGAACAGTTATAAACAATTGAAGAGACATTGCCATGAACCATCTGGAATAGTTTCGCGTCGTGACTGACATTACTTCAATTCCCTTCTATGCAGGACTGTGCCTGATCATGTCCTCCTTATTAAACCAATGTTACAATGTTCAGTCCTGGAAGCAAATGATAGTCAACGGTTGTATGCGGTACTGATTACCGCCCTCAGACCGGACGAAACCCCAGGTCCAGCTGAGGCTGCTGGGGGAGGGAAGTCCCCTTCCCCAGTTTCATGGTAGTTGTTGGCTGAAGCAGATGGTTTTTTAGTACTCTTTAGAAGCACCAAATGTGTGATAACCAATGCGGAAGGTGTATGAAGGGAAAGTGTGGAGGAGGTCTCTGAAAAAAGGAGAGGAGTTGTGTTAATTAACAACCGATGTCTGGCGGTTGCTTTAAAGTTCATCAGGTTCTTGTATGTGTGGGCTGGAATTAGGGCCAAGTCAAGGATCACCACATTTTTAGTTCAGATTAATGCCTTCCATTTACTGTTAGGTGTCGGCCGATGCAGGCAATCGTAATGGTAATATGCACCCATTATTACTCGTTACATGACATGATAAATTTAAAACGGTTTGGTGAGCAATAAAGCACTAAAGCTTACAATTTAATAATGTTCTTAGAAAAAGTTTAGTTTGTCTTTTTCAGCGATATTAATTTCCAACTTACTAATACTTTGATTTTTAAAATATCTTAAATTGGCCGGAGCGTTTGCTGGATCTTTCTATGAAATTCGGGTTGCGCGACCTAATTGATGTCTTAATGGAAATTTGTCGAGTATAATTCGCACACTTACCACACATTTGCGTTTGTACAAGCAGGACTGCGCGGCAAAGTTGAGCTAATGACCGTCGCGAGTTGGGGTCTGCGGCATGACTATCAATTTGGGTGATAAAAGTGATTTGGACGGTTCAGACTTTGCTCTATGCTGTAAATGCAGTACGAAAATTCCCTACGAGACAGTCTTTACTTGGTAATTCTTGTCGATGTCAATCTGATCTTCAGTCCAACTTGCAAAGCAGTACTATATTGTTCCGAGCGCTGTCAACATCAAGACTTGGAAGGCGTTTCTAACACCCAACATTCACATAAACTGTGGTGCAAGGTTATGAAGGTGTTCATGGAATATAGTGCTGCTCTTGAGGACTTCCCTTTCCAGTATACCGAAAGTATGTCCATTTGTGTGTTCCTTGATTCTTGTAGGCATCACATCTTTGTCATTTTCACGAGTGAAATTATACAAACTTTTACAAACTTATGGTGTTTTTACAATGGGATTATGGAAGCACTTGTTTATTACACTTGGTGATGGTCCAGGAGATGGCTTAAAAGAATGGACTGGGTTGGTATACGACTCTTCTTCACTTGAACAACTTGAACCAAATCTATTGTTTTGTAATATTGAAGATATGGAAAATGCTATTCTGAGGGCATATGTAAATCCAAGTGATGTGATTACTCTCGCACTTCACCCGCAAATTGAATCCGCCTCCTCGTTTGTTCGACTTGTTTCGGTCGATTTGTGTGACTGGTCAGAGTTTTATGCGTGGATGGGTCTTTCGCTCTCGTCTCTTTTGGCTCTCCTTTTTCATTGGCCACTCACAATCTACCACATTCTTAACAAGTTGCTCCCAACCAAAGGTAATAGCCGTTTTGCTTATAGTTGCCTCTGAACCACAGGTGACCAGGTGATTCAGCGGATACTAAGTAAAAAATCTCTAAATATCCACTTAATTGGTGTGGAAACGGAAGTGGACTTGCTCCCTGTATTTAAGGTAGTTTAGCTTCCTCACGTCTCATAGCTGAGGCACAGGAGTTGGATTTTCTAATATCCCATGATATTGACAAGATAGTCATCACTATGGTTGGTCCGAATATTTCTCCTTGTGTAAATGGCAAAAAATGGCTCCTCTCACGCCGCATGCTTGTCAGTACTTGGTGCGCAACTTACCATCAATATGTTAAAGAAGCGCAGTTTTCCGGAACATTTTGTCTTCCAGACCTGGTTATAGGTAATTCTTAAGCATATTCTTACATTCCACATTTTTGAAGGTTTTAATGTCGGCTTTGTTGCTTATCCCACATGGAAAAAGACTCTGGAAATGCTTAAGGTTAGTTGCTCTTTTAAATCATTTTTCTTTTGATCATGAATGTGCCTGCCTATTTCACGGATTCTTGTCCATACTCGTGTTTATGGGGTCTGGAGATCCTGCACTCCGTGGGATTACATCCAGGAGTTGACATCTCTGACTCAGGTTCGGTTCTAACCCTCCTCACTATCAATCCCTTTCGGAGCCCCATTTTAATCAGGGCGGAAGGCACTCGGTGGTCGCGATTTAGCAATGCATTCATTTTTTCGACCCAGGTTACCCCAACTGTTGAGGATGGATTGGCGGCTCTGCTGTCTTCTGTAAAAATGTAATGTTCTTTAAAATAACTTCAGCATTTGCTAATTGATTCATTTAAATGAAAAGCAGGCAATGACAAGTCAAATGATAATATAACGCATAGGAGGCCTAATTACGATGGCAAATCACATTCTATGAGGTTCCTTCTTGGGAGTAGATAGTATGGAGGTGGTGACACTGCATTAAAATCTCGCATCTCTCCAAGGTCGGAGCCACTCTGATAGGGTCGAATCCGGGAATGGGGACACTTAACAGCCGAAGAGTGTGGGCTGTCGTGGTTGTGTGCAATTTTGGAAGAGCTCAAGAGTATTCTAGGTAGCATTCGGTATAAGATGTCACAGGGACTCTGGCAAACTGATGAGTGGCAAGGTTTATTCGTCATCCTTCCTTACGATGTTCTGAGGTAAAAATGGGAGAGCCTTTCGTTGATGCCGAGGAGGTGGTCTTCGATCTCGCATTGGCCGTTTAAATCAGTCGGTTTTCGGATTCTCCATCACCTGATTTCGTCTCTCGATTCAACAGTTGAGATGCAACAGCTTATAGCACATCACTTCTGCATAAAACAAAGCAAGTAGAAGGCAAGGAGTCAGACGGGTTATTAAAAACCACCGAGAGGAAGTGAGCAAATTCTATTCAACTGAAATGGAAGCGGTAGGCGGTGAGACGAGACGTATTGATGGAGAGGATAAAGCTGTTATCAAAACAGATTGATAACACTTACAAGAGATTGGTCAGATGTGCAACAGTCCAGACCGACAACATAAACATCACAAGATGGAGAGTACGATGAGTGACAGAGTTTACATTGGAAAATGACATCAAGCTAGTATCGAAGTTTAATCATCGAATCAGATCAAAGAATTTAATCTCAGTAGGTGATTTTGCCGGTTACTTTGTGTCAAACAAATTTATGTTATCTAAACAAAGGGCTCTTCCCTTGCTAAATAGGTCACAATATGGAGGTAATTTTGTAAAAAACCTAGGTCTGGACATAACACTTAACACTAAATTATTATAAAGAGATGTAAGTGGACCTGCTCCACGCAATGACAGCAAAAAGACAGGCATCAAGGGACAACTGTTTTGGCATTCATAGGTGATAATTGGACCACATGCGGTGACGGACAAGGGGCTGACAAGGTAGTACGACCACGAACCGAATTGAAGTCACAAAATGGTTGCTTGTGTAAATAGGGCGATTTTGGACACTAAGCCATGAGAAAATTGATGTAATAATGCTTAACATAAAGACCTCGAAGTTTAGGACGTAAAGGAAGCAGGATGCATAAAAAACGCAATAAATACTCGTACTGTGCAAGACACTTCAAATCATACCGCTGGGTAACAAAATATAAATCCGAGAAGTAAATTGTCCTACATTTTACGCCTAAATTAAGAAACAAAAACCCGGCCAAATTCAAGCCAAAAGGCTAAATTGAATGAGTCTAAGTTCAAGCAGGTATTAATGTCTCAAGAAATTCTCTTTAATTATCAGCAAGGGAAGTTTAACCAAAAGGTAACTACTTCTTATGTATAGATTATAGCGAGCTATAAAGCACTAGAGAGTAAACGAGAAGATAATATCGGAGGTTTGCCAAATATACTGCAAAAATCAAGTCTAAGAAGAAAATTGCAATGCGTTGCTTATTTGACTACATGATGTCTAACGGTCACTTTGAAGATCGGCAGGCGATTGAAAGGGTAGACTGGTCTTCAGGCAATATATATAGGTCAAGATTCCTTTATTTCAATTATTTCCCACCAGCTTAGTACGTGCAAAGTTTTCGAGGGCTACGGAGCCACCAAAACTGATCTTATTCGGAATACTTTATGTGACCGAACGATGTCTGACATTTACCTTAAGATTTGTCTGACACTTGCACGCATGGACTGGCCTTCAGGTCAAGGTCAGGCTTAATCCTCCTGCCTCCATGTTAATATATGCACTCAATTCCATCTAATACCCTCTTCCAATCGTTAGGGCAGTCTCAGGACGCCACGCTTATGGTAGCGGAAAGCGAACCCAACAATTTTAACGACTTCTATCACAATGTGCGCCGTTTGTGGCATGTACCTACTTGATAAAGGAGGAGCATTTACATCGGTGGAGGGGGGGGAGGAACCTCGGAATTCTCTACAACA